TGAACTCCCCCGTCCCCTCTCCTGCCCCTCTCCCAGGGGACCTTGGGGTACCCGAGTGATAGCTCCACTTCCACCTACCAGCTGTTTCCCAGCCACCTCCATCCTTTTGGGCCGTAACTGCAGTTTGAACTACAGCATCTCTATTTTATAGCTGTAAGGTTCAACTCATTTTTTTGTCTGGAAAACAGTGGGGTGTTTGCATCTCTGCTGTCCCACGCCCCATCAGAGGTCACATTCATATCAAATAATTAGTTGCATCTGCTTGATGTCATCTGCTGCCTTCCTCAAGCTGATGAAAGGACGAGCGCTGTGGCTGCCAGCTCAGACCCTTTCCCTTCCTCCTCTCGCCCTCCTTCCTCTCCCACTGCTCCTGCCAGTGCAGTTTGGATGGTGTCTCACCTTCCCTCCCCGTCCCTCCTAGGAAGTGGCTGATGCTGGGGGGCCAGAACTGGAAGTGGACTAAATGGCATTGGATAGATATGCATATCAATAAGCCACGTAATTAACGGACCGAGGAGTCGGCATTAGTTAGCATAAACTCAGCAGTTTTGAGGATTTCCATTTGCAGTTGTAAGAACCAGATGCTTTTACTTTTAAATGAATTACTCCCATGTGCTGCTCGGCTTAGCTTATTGACTGAACACGGCATTTATTACTTGTCTGGGTTTTACCAAGTTACTCCTCAGGCTGGAACGGCATTTTAAGTTGTGTGCAGCCACCCTACGCATTTCTTCACCTTACTGCTTTGTGCCACTAGTTATAAAGGGAAGAGTGATTTCCTTTTTATTCCAGAGATTATGCCTATGCATCCAAAGAACATCATGCACCAGTGCCAGCCTCGAGGGGGACCTACCTTTGGTTTCTTATTTTAATACCTTCACCTTATTATAATGTATTAAGCCGTTATAATGATTTTTGTTATTTCAAATGTGAGTCTTGTTTGCTTTGTCAAGGATAAGGGAATTAATATTTTTAGACAGATTACTTCTGGGCTTCTTCCCTGTAGCTGTGTAATGTCTGAGATCTAATTTCTGTGTAACCCTATAACATAATGTAAATGAACAGTTGTGAATTTCAGAAACTGGGAGTCAGCACAGTGAAGCCATTCTCCTCTCTGCAGAAAATCCTTGTACAGTCTTAGCAGTCACACACTTTTATAATTTTAAGATGCTTTTACTAACTTTTCCCCCAAACTTCCAGTCCCTTCCCAGCTCACCTCAGCCTCCCTGACTCAGGGCACTCTTGGCTCAGGGTATGTGCAGCCACTTGACAGCTCCCATGTGGAGTTCAAGGCACCGCTTTTGAAAGATAAAGTGCTAAATGGTCTGAAACTTGCCCGTGAGACCTCTCGTTGCCTTTCCTTAGCCACAACAGGAGAGCGGAGGGATTCATCCTGCCTGGTCCCTGCCCTGGAAAGCAGCACAGCCTCCTGCCGGCTGCGGGTCTCGGGCTTTGGGCTCCTCGCCTTGCTCTTGGCCAGGGAAGAATACTGCAAAGCAAGCTTGTGCGCCGGCGCTTACGGGAAGTTAATGAACAGCGGCTCTTGTGAGCTCGGTAATTAGGCAGAATTAATCCTGCAAGCTCTCTGCCTTGAAGACCGCTAGTTTTAACTGGATGTAGTCTATGACTGCTTTTATGTTTAGTTTTAATGGCTATTTTATGATGAGATGGTCCCTGGAGTCTGGAAAGCGTGGGTTTGGATTTATATTAATCTAAGTAACAACAATACAGTTTACAGAACTAAAGTCTTCTTTCAGACACTGAACATACACTTGGGGTTTCAGATCTAATTCCCACTGTTTGTTTATTCAAAGATTCATCCAGATTCACAAAAAAAAAGGTCCCAATCCAGACTAACGGATGAATACGGGATTCCCTCTATTCTATTAGCAGAAAATATAGCAGGGTGTGCACTCCCAATGTATAAATTTAGATTCGTAGTAGATTTGCAAATTACCTGCAGGATAATGTACATGCTGCTCTGAACTGCCTATGGAAGCTGACTCTTCTCAGTTTTGCATTAAAACAACAAGTGGGCTGTCCAAGGCCCATTCTGCACTGGCTTTCCATCATCCAGAGGTAAAGGGAATAAGCTGGAGATAAAACCCAATGTGTATGTATTTTCCTCTTTCCTGCAAGTGGTGGAGGTTCAGAGATTCCCAGTACCTCCGTAGTCATATACGCCTAGCATATCTGTCAACAGCAGTTTAACCAAAAAGGGTGGACCATTAGACTTAACATAATATTTGGGCAGTAAGACACAATAGCACAGCGCATTTCTTGCCGATTATAGCAAGCCTCAGGTGATACACCAACTGAAACGGAAAAGAGGCAGCACAACTTTGCCATCCTGAAATGCTCTGCTTAATCTTCCTTGCTGCTGCCATGGCACTAAATGTGCTCATGAAGAAAGGAATCGGTCAATGTTATAAATAGAAAGGTGATTACCACGCTGGAAATGGCTAATTGAATCCAGAGTGCTAAAACCTGTGCTACAATACTTTCTGCATAAAATAGGTTTCTGCTGCAACTCCTCCCAAACGTGTACAATATAATACGCATCTTTGGAAATAGGATGCAGATGAATTTTGCCAACAGAAGAAAAACATTTACTGTTACATATAGTAAAGATCAATTATACTGTTTTAGAGAATGCTTTAGGGTATGGTCAAAGAACAATAGTTACGACTGCTCTGAAAACTCAGGGAGGAAGATGAGCAGCTAATGCTTCTAAAGGGGAGCAGCTGGCCAGTGAGAAAAGAGCTGACAGATGGCTTCCTATGAAAAATGGTCATTAATATTCTCATGTCAACTCCCAGGTTTAAGGGGATGTTAGAGCTCAGAAACCAGCACTTGGAAGCCAGGAAATTCCAGAAGCTAGGACATTCATACGGACAGTTGCTTAGAAGGGACAATATCCACTTATTTTTGCACCAATATGTAAACTTAATAGAAACAAGCTCTTAGATAACCTAAGAGCTGTAAAACAAGATTTCCTATTCAAAAAGAAAAAATATCTACCCATTTAATGAGTCGCTTTTTAAAACAAATATGACTCTGCAGAGATGCCTGTTATCGTTACACAGCACTAACCACCTGAAAGTGAAGCTGACTGTAAACAAAACCCAAGCACATGGTCGGTTTTTAGGGTTCTAGCAGAAATTGCTCCCCTGACTCCCTCTTGGATGCTGCGAAGTGCAGCAGCTCTACTCAAGTCTGTGGGTTATAAACCTGTGGTCTAGACCACAAATGGCACAACTGGGTGAAAATTCGTACACATTAAGGTTTGGTTGAAAGTCTCCTTCACGAATCAACCTTCCCACCCACAAAAGCCTCAGCGGGAAGCCTATGAAGATGAATTTAAAAAATATAAAAGATCCTTTTAGTAGACTTTTTCAGTGCCTTTCTGGTTATTATACTTAAAAGGCTATAATTACTAAAGCATGTTTAAACATTAGGCTCATTATTGGGATTATCACTATCCCAGCCCAGCCACGGGCAGCCTGGTAGCACCTCAGCTCTGAGCACAGAAACTACAACCACAAGGAAACCAAGAAACCCCCCAAAAGCCATGCAGAAGGGCTGCTGGCAGCCGGCACCTCCAAGCACCCACTGTTTAAAGCTGGGCATTAACGTCAGGTCAGCCTGCTGGACTTGTCATCACGGGGGACAAACCCAGCCTGGCGGTCTCCTCTCTCTTCCACCCAGGTCCCTGCGGGTGGACAGCATCCCCAGCAGCACAAGGGGGTTGGCAAGCACTGGCTACTTACTTCCTCTCTCCTTTGTACCACTCAAAGACTGGGGCAGGAACTCCTGCACCTTCGCACCGTATCAGTCCGTTCCCTCCAAGCATCACACCGCTGGATTTAAGTTCCTGAATTGTGGGGGCAACTGAAAAAAAAGAATTGTAAAATGGACATTTGCATCTAGATACGCAGATTGTTTAACGCCGCTTCTCTTCAGCACGCTTTACGTTACTCTCAGCCTGGCGCATGTTTTCCGGCTTGATTCACATTCAATCACGTTTTCTTCCAGCAGTGTAAAAATTATCCCACACAGCAGATTCTGATACAGATCTGTGTATCTGGTGTAAAAAACACAACTGAGACATGAAGAAATATCAATCCCATACTCAAAAAAAGCTGTTTTTCCAACTCAGTCACTCAACATAAAGTATAACTGTTTATAAGCGTTAATGCTGTACAAGATGTGTTTAAAACCTGAGAATCAGAAAAAAAGCACGTGAAGCCCCAACACCGGTGCTGGCTGAGAGGCTGTGGGGTGCTGCTGGGCTCAGCTGCAGGGACCCCTGTGCAGGGTCCAAAGGCAGGAGAACATGGCCAGCACCACTTATCTTCTGCATCATGTCTTCTGCAAATGCCCCATAAGCCACAAAGGCTCAAATGGCCTTTGAGATCTTGTTTTGCATATTAAAAGAACAAACTTACCTTCACAATTATGAACCAACTGTGAACAGCATATAACAGTATAACTTTTCCAATATTACAGAGGATATAGAGCTGTTTCAGTAAATACATTTGGTCTTTTTAAATAGTAAACACTGTAAATAGCAATAAACATTTTAAGCTTAGAACTACAGATACAAATAAAGATAAAAAGCGATTGTCAGTTTTTCTAGTTGCCAGTGAAAGGCAACTGTAAGCTGAGAATAAAACACAACAAATTCCTCAGGAAAGAGATTATCAAAGGAAAGTCTGAACAACTGCCTTCTCCCTGGAATTTCTTTTACATTTTCTGTTTTTAAACAATAATTTATGTGCATCATAAAAATGCTATAAAAACCAAAACACAGAACTTATAAATAAAAATCTGTTTATTTTTTCCCAAGCAGTGTTCCAGATGTTGCTTTAAGGTGTTTATGTACATATAAAATGCTGACTGCCTCTCGTCTGCTTCTTTCACCATCTCACCCATCGCTCAGCATGCCACGTTAAAGAGACCTTAACCTTTAATGGGAACCAGCCACACTAACGAAGTGTCAGATATATAAAAGAGCAGAGCCACAGCCAGGGGTCCTGCATAGGTGGGTCAGCTCCATTGCACATCCTTCTCCTTCACCAACACCATCAATGGCTGCTTTTCCAGATGTGTAGGACATCACTCAGGAATCCAACTGTCACAGCCCAGGGAAAGGAAACACTCCCTCTTAGCACTTACGCACAAGTCCTGATGTTTAACAAAACCACGTGAGGACATTTTGGGTGGGATTAAACAGAGAACTGGTTTTCTCTCACCCATTGCTCATGTCCTACCCTGGTCCAGCAGACAGATGAACTACAATTTCCCACAGCTGGCAAACACACCTTCTGCCTTTAACTTTGTCTTCCTAATGAGTACATTAAACCAATCTATAAATTCATTAATTTCAACCAGTAACATTAAAATTTCAAGAGGATAATAAACATATAACCAGTTTGCATGACTATTTCTCCATAATCTGCATAGGAAAAAAAAAAGATTTTTTATTTGTTACTCCATAAAAATAACAGGGACATATAAAGATTAGTTCTTCCTGAGAAATAAAGCAATTTGTGCAGCTAAGACTTTTAAAAAATAACTTCAAGTGAGACTGATCACATGAAGAGCTGTGAACCGGTTACATTTTGTCTCTGCTCCTACAGCACTGCGTGGCATCAGCAGCTGCTCAGAGCACCTCAAACTCATGGATCAGCTTGCGCTTCAGAAGCGTTCAAAAGAATAATGCTAAAATTGTGCAAGATAAACCATAGAAAAGCAAAACCTGTGCAAGATAAGCCATACAAAAGCATCACCTGGATGATGGGAGAAAATGGACGACTATTGCACAGGGTCAACTGAGGTTGTTTGACTATGACCAGGAGAAAGTCTACCTCTCACACATGGTTTCGACCTGCTCTGGGATGGAAGACTGCCTGCCAGTGTTTCTACTGCTTCCCTCAAGTTGTATGAGAGACACAAATGCTTCAACATAACCCCCAGGATATTTCTCCACCGTTAGTTCATGTGTGACTGTAGCTGGGAAGCACCACCCTGAGCAGGCAGGTCCTGGGGCTCCCAGCTGCAGGGCACAGAGCCTGGACCTCTGGCATTCAGAGAGATATCAGCTTGCTTGCCCATTTACCCGTGCCTGCCTGACATTGCAGTTCTGAATTGCTGGGGGTATCTGGTCCACCTGCCTGCCCAAAATGGGGCCAACCCGACCCAGGTGGTCCCAATGGAACCCTCTATCCTGAGGCTTCAAAGCTTCAGGGAGCTCCACACCCTGCCTGGATGGCAACACACCAGCACTTATCTGCATGGTTGCAGGTATGCACCTTGCTGCAGTTTTAAGCCATTACTCACTTTGTCTCCTTATTGAAGAGCAGGACTAAATATCTCTTTGAAGAAAACTTTTACCCAGTTAAAGACTTGTGTGCTCATTCTCTTGGTCCTCATTTATCTAAATAAATTCAGCCTAAAAATAACTCTGTTCTCTCCCTCATTTCAGATGTCACGTTTCCCAAAAACTGTGCTTGTTTTTTGTGGTGCCTCGAAGTCCTCCTGTTCACCCACACTTCGCCTGAGCGAGTATGCTTGACACAAGATGCAGCAGTACCAGGGAGATGCTGCCAAGTGGAACAAGGAGGTTGCTCCACATGGTCCGCACGTGATGTCATCCTGCCATTGCTGACTTAATTTGGTGTTTCTTCCCCTGTTGTCCCTTGGAATTTCCACGGCATAAGCCCAATTGCCCACCTTACATTTGTGCTGGTCCTCACCTGCATGTGGATGCCACCCCACACTTCTCCTTTGTTGATCACCTGTTATTTTTACCACATTCTCCAGTGTGTTGAGACAATCTCCAGTCCTGCCTGTGCCGTGGAGCAGTCCCCCAGTAGTGCCAGGACATCTGCCCTAGGGAGGGATGATTTGCTGTCCCTGGAATAAACTGAACATGGCAGGTGTAAGTAGATATAATCTATTTTGGGGGATACCAGAGAGAAATTCTGGAAGAGGAACTGAGATAACGCACTGGATCCATACATTGGGCAAGTTTTCATGAACTGAGAGTTGAACCATTGAAAGACATTGGGAAGATGTTCAGTGACTGTGGGGCTTGTCTTCCAGGTCCTGAGTGACACTGGGATGATCTATCATGACTGTGGGTTTTGTCCTACGCAAGAAAAGAGCTGTGACCACCCCACAGGTTCCACAGGGTCTGAAAGCCCTTAAATAGCAGGAAACAATACTTTATCCAGCCCTTTCTCCACATCATCATGCAGCAGCTCATTGAAAAGCTTTGTAGTAAGAAGCAAACATTTTTCTGCATTACACAAAAGGGAGCGGAAACATTTGGTTTTCTTCTAATTCAGAGTGGGTAGGATTATCAAAAAAATGAGTGTGAAATTCATGTACCACACTGTGTGCACACTACATGGACAGTATTTAATTCTCATGTGTAAAGCAGAGAGAGCAAATAAAAGACCAAAGGCTTGAGTCAGGTAGAAAGTTTTTTCTAAAAAGTACCACCTTCATACTTCTCAAGGTGGCCTGCCCACTTTTTTCTTACTGTTTTGGGGGGGATTTGTTTTTTGTTTGGTTGTTTGTTTTTTTAAATAAATGCAGAACATCACAGGCAATAATTTTAACATTAAGTGATCCATAAAAACGTACAGCTCACTAATGCTTTTTCAAACAGGAGCCCCAGGCACTGTGCTCCCAGTGCAGCTGGGAAGGGGATGGCAGCTGGATCCCAGCTACAAATCACGATTCTGGGCTTTGCTGTCTGATGAGGCAGAGTTTTGTTTGGAAAATACCAAAATACCAAAAAACTTCTGAAAAGGAAGTTTTCTAAGATCTCTGTTTCTGAAGGATTTCAGCTTCTGTTTGTTCAGAATCAAAATAAAAATCAATATTCTCTGCTCTAGGAAATCCCGGGTTAATACAGATATGAAAACACAAAGCGAAGACAGCTTAGAGTCACCGTTCTCTTCGTTTTTTTCATTGTCAGGTTATTTTCTTGGTTTTAGTACAAAGAGAAACTATGTGATGCAGGCATATTTCTCGTGCACTGATTAGTAATGTGCTGAGCCAAAAATCCATCAGACCCTACTGCTCCCATCGGTGTGGAAGACTGAATAACTCCAGATGAAATTACACACCTAAATACCTGCTGCTGTGAGTTGCCAAGGCTTTTTTTGGAAAGGAATGAGACAAACACATGGGAAGAGATTTTCGGGCCTCCACTTTTTTTTTTTTTTTTTAAAAAATGTTTTTCCATACAGTCAGCATTTTTGAGAAGACATTTGTGATTTGATCTCATCGCTGTCAGTCACACTGCAGCTGTCTGCATTCTTATGCTGCTGGGGCTGCACATGTTTTCTCTTATGCAAAAGATTTTGAGGTTATAACAGTCAGAAGGAATATTATATTGATATAAACACATATAATTTAGCAAGAGGAAAGCTCATGTATTATGTTAACAAATGTTCACAAGGTTCAGTTCAATTCTGCCATCACAGTTATGCAATACACGTTGGTTTTTTGGTGAACAATCTTCCCGACACCAGAGTTGCCCAGTACATCAGGGGTGTGCAAGATCAACCAAACCAGCCAGGAGAAGGGAGGGATGGAGGCTGACAACATCTCTGCTCCAGTCAGGGCTGGCAGGCAGGCATTTGGGAGAGACTATAATAAACATACAGAAAATAACATGATTTGTCCTCCCAGGTAGCACTGCATGAATCTAGAAAATTCCCAAAAGATGCATGGCGATGGTTCCCCCACCCTGTTCCTCCCCACTTGCAACGGGTCTCTGCATTTTGCAGCACTGATTATAACCTCTGCCTGATCACCTCCACCTCATTAGATCCTTGTGCAGCTCTTTACAGCCTGCTTTATTTTCTTTTGTA